ATAGTGAAACTGCATAGAAAGGTTTTCTTTATCACCGCTCCATAGACCTGAAGGCTGATGAGAACTGGTTTATAATTCTTGACGTGTTAACGCTCTCTTTTGACTTTCTTCTTTGCAAGGATTTCCATTACCTTCTCAGGGGCCAGTTTGGCGACCAGCACAGTTTCTGTTCTCGAACATGTTTCTGTGAGCAAAGGGCACAACAGTCCCTTTCTCCTCTTCTCTCTGCAAGTGCTTCTAGGCCACGGTCACTAGCTCTCAAGCCCTGAATGATTAACTCAGGGTAGCTGTACTTAAAAAAAAATAAATAAATAAAATTACACCCTGTGTTATCTCATTTAATGCTTACAACCCTCTGTGAGGTAGGGTTTTTATTAGCTTATTTTACAGGTGAGGAAGCTGAGGCTCTGAGCCTCAGTCGGGTGTTGTAAGAGAGGGCAGCCAGTGAGGGGTGGAGTCAGGGCTCCGGGTCAGGCAGTCGGACCCCATTCCTGTGCCCTGAAATCACAGTGCTCTGTCTCCTCCCTCTAGTTTTCTGCAGATCCTATTAAGTTGATGGGAAGTTTCTAGACATTTTCCCAGAAGTCCCAGAAGCTTCCTTATATCTTGTTGCATGTTTTTCCATGTCTTCCTTAAGCAGACTAAGTTAAACTGAGCCAACTTTACAACCGTCCTCTGCACCTGCTGGGAGGGCATAGATAGGGTTCACAGCCACCACGAAGTCCCAGGTTACTCAGTTAACTGGACACATGATGTGAGGGCATTCTGGCCATGATAGGCAGGCATGGACAGGATGGATTTAGCTGAGTGGGTTGGCCACCCTATGACCTCCCTCCTTTGGTACTCTCTGTGCATACACTTTCAACCTGCATACTTGGTCACAGAGGTCTTTTTTTTTTTAAGATTTTATTTATTTGTCAGAGAGAGAGCACAAGCAGGGGGAGTGGCATGCAGAGGGAGAAGCAGGCTCCCCGCTGAGCAGGGATCCTGACGCGGGACTTGAGCCCAGGACCCTGAAGGCAGATGCTTCACCGACTGAGCCACCCAGGCGCCCCCGGTCAGAGAGGTCTTCACTGGTTGCTCAGTCAGGTTCTTGGGACAAGCGATTCTGCCTGATTGCTCCAGAATCGAGGTCCACCAGACACTGTAGGTTAGATGAGGACAGCATTAAGGTGTTGTGTGGCCGCGTAATTTTCTCTTTCGCTGGCAAGGCCTTGGAGGAAGCCACACTGCAGGCCCCCGGGGAGGTGGCACGCGGTGGAGCCTCCAAGCCAGGGCTGAGCAGCTGGGAGAAGAGCCGCCGGTGGCTGTGGCCAATGTTCACGTCTTAGTGACATAACTGTCCCCTCAAGGAAGCCGAGTGGGCCTTCCCTGTCATCCTCTCCAGTCTCAGCAGTTTGGCCGCTCCTCAGGCACATGGCTTCCTAGGTGAGATGGGCAAGGCCACCAGCCTCCAGAGGTGCACGGAAGGACCCTCCGCAGATGCGGTTCTGGCCACAGCAGGGCTGCTCCTACGAAGCAGAATGAATGAAAGGGGACTTACTGGAGGCTTTCCACATTTTCTTGTACTAGGAGTAGTATGGCTTCATTATGATTATTTTTAATTATGCAAGTAACACTTGTTTATAATGAGTTCAGACAACACAGAAGTATGTAAAGTTAAGAAAAGTCTCCCGTTGGGGCACGTGGGTGGCTCAGTCGGTTAAACATCTGCCTTCGGCTCAGGTCATGATCCCGGGGTCCTGGGATCGAGTCCTGCATCGGGCTCCCTGCTCAATGGGGAGTCTGCTTCTCCCTCTGCCTCTGTCCATTGCCCCCCGCTCATGCTTTCTCTCTCTCTCAAATAAATAAATAAAATCTTTTTTTTTTTTTTTTTTTAAAAAAGAAAAGTCTCCTGTCCCTGGAGGGGAAGGAGTTGGAAGGTGGGCAAAATGGATGAAGGTGATCAAGAGGTACAAACTTGCAATTATAAAATAAATAAGTCATGGGGTTGTGGGAAACAAAAGAGAAAAAGACAAAGTCTCCTCTCCTTCCTCATCTCCAACTCCATTTCCCTCCAAGGTGACTAACTACAGTTCCCATGTATGACTTTATTTTAGCAAAGATAAATATATCCTTATCCAAAATTTAAGGATTTGTATAAGGATATTATAAAATTTGTGTAAGGGTGTGTTTCTATTATATCCTTATAGAAAATATGCTCTCTCATATTTGCTAACTTAACATTGTATCAGGGACATCGTTCCAAGTGGGTACATTTAGGGTTATTATTTTTTTTAGTGGTTACATGGTATTCAATTCGGTGAATGTTATGGATGTTCACATATTCAGTGCATGCCTCAGTGTATGTATAATCTCTTGGCCCCACGCCAATCACATTTTGTTTGTTTCCACTTTTGTGCTATTTATGGAAATGCAGTGAATATCCTTTCCACAGACATACGTCTTTATACTCTTATTCCAGCATTTCTGTAGGACACATTTCTAGAAGTAGAATTTCTAAGTCATGGGTCAGGAGCATGTTTATGTTAGAGACATACCCAGGAGGAAGTTTTATGTCATCTTTAAGAATATCCAAATATTCTTCAACATGAGACTAGAAAGAAGTTCCTCCTTCCCCTGTGGCAGACAATTTGAAGTTGAGGGACATGGATAAGAAGCTTCTGGAGGGGGGCGCCTGGGTGGCTCAGTTGCTAAGCATCTGCCTTCGGCTCAGGTCATGATCCCAGGGTCCTGGGATTGAGCCCCGCGTCGGGCTCCCTGCTCAGCGGGAAGCCTGCTTTTCCCTCTCCCACTCCCCCTGCCTGTGTTCCTGCACTCGCTGTCTCTCTGTCAAATAAATAAATAAAATCTTTAAAAAAAAAAAAAAAAGCTTCTGGAGGTGGTTGTTGCTGAATAATACATGATTTCCCTGGAAAGGGATCAGTCAGGATTGCTGTATTTTATTATTAAATTTTCCTTTCAAGGGGATCTTATTTTATTTGAAGTATTTTATCTCAAGAAACTGTCTAGGATCACTTCTTTTAATTGCCCTTTATTTATTATTCAGCCAGAATAGGGACATTTCATTTTTGATGGAGTTGAGAAGGGCCTTTATTAGAATGGCACAGGAGAAACATCGAAGGGGAAAATTTTTTTATCACTACATCTGACAGTTCTCACTAACTTTGAAATAACTCTAATATGTGCAACATAAAAATTTCAAAATCTGAAAAAAGAATGCTATAATGATAAAAAGGCATGAACATAATGTATAACCTGCTGTAGACCTTGAATGTTATCCTACAATACATAGTTCTTATTTCTTTTGGCTGAATTTTTCAATCTAAGTTATTCCATTTTTAAATAAATTGATCTCCTGCCTTTAGCTGATGGAGCACATAATTAATTTCTACTTTTCAAAAATGAAATGCATTCAGTAAATGTAATACAAAGAACTACTTCCCGCTGTGAGGCAAACTGCCGTACGTAGATTAAGAGCTTGGAGTCTGGAAGCAAACAGACTGGATTTAATCTCAGCCCTGCAAACACACCAGCACTACTGTTAATGCAAATTACTTAAATTTGTATCTCGGTTTCCTCATCTGTAAAATGGGGATAATGATATCACCTAGCTCATTAAGTTTGTGGGGTGTTCATTTCAAATGCTAGAGATATAGGAAATATGCAAGATGCTATAATAATAATTATTATTATTAATGTTAATGGGATGTTATCACATGTTACTCTTTAGTCAATGCGGAGATCATTTCATAGGATAATGTTCATCGTATTGTAGTGTTAGGACTTTCAAGGCTTTGTCTTTTCAAAATTTCTTTTCAAAGGTATATTCCATTTACCCTGATAATTTTTGCTCACTGAGAATATCCAAGTGTGTACAAATGATGGCGTCTGTATATGTTGTATGTGTGTGATTTTTTTTTTAAGATTTTATTTATTCATTTGAGAGACGGAGCATAAGCGGGGGAGGGGCTGAGCAGGGAGCCCGATGCAGGCCCCTGGGATCATGACCTGAACTGAAGGCAGGCGCTCAACCGACTGAGCCACCCAGGCGCCCCTGTATGTGTGTGATTTAGATAGAAGATTCACAGGGAAAAAAACCCACACCACCTATCATTCAGAGATATGAATCTAAAAAGGGATAGGGTAGAAAAACAATGTTTTTAACAGACTAAGATTATAATTGTGGGTGATTATTTCTGATGACATTATATCATACTAGGTCCTTGCTCAGGCCTAAGATGAAAATCCATTTTTCTTCCATGAATTTTATGAGCTTGTTTAGAATCATTAGTTCTTAACACTGACAAGCTGATTCAAATATTTTGTTGCACTTTTGAAAAGCCACGTTGTAGACTTTTGTTGCCCTAACCTCTTTTGTTTCCACTTTCAGAGCTCCTATGGATATGGTGACCTGTTCTCTGACACCTGGAAAGCCTTTACTGATTATGATGTTATACATTTGAAAACTTATGATTCCAAAAGGGTACTGGAAACTTTGCTGAAATGTCTGTAAATAACAGTCATTGTAGATGACTCACTCATCAAATCTATTTTAATACGAGTTTCTATTAGCTATTGCCACTGATTTCTGACTTTGTAGTTTCTTTTTTTATAACTTCAAATCATTCTTAATTATTAACCATGTAGTGTGAAGAAAATTTTTCCTTTAGATTCTCCAAAATTATGACTTTCCCTTGAGTGAAATAGTTTGCTATTCAAAATATTTCAGTGCAAAAAGATTTAATTAAAATTTATTTTCTGTGATTATAAGTACTATTTTGATGTGGTACAAATTGTGTTCTCTTACCTTATATAATACCTTCATTCTTAGGTATGTTTTAAAGAAGCTGTTTTTTCTTTACTCCCCCGGATGCGATACGGGCTGTTCTATAATACCCCTTTGGTAAGCATATCTGTTATTCATATTTATATTTATACATTTATTCTTCATAGGTTTCTTTTTTAAGATTTATTTATTTATTTTAGAGAGAGGCACACATGTGCAGGGGAAGGGGGAGGGAAAGAGAATCCTCAAGCCGACTCCCGTTGAACGTGGAGCTGGACTCAGGGCTTGATCCCAGGACTGTGAGATCATGACCTGACCTGAAATCAAGAGTTGGCCGCTTAACCAACTGAGCTATCCAGGCATCCCTATTCTTGATAGGTTTTACGATAACATTTATATATAACTTGAGAACATCTTCAAGAGTAATACACAATTATTCACTGTAATATGAACTATTGTTTTCGTGTTAGATATCTGGCTGCCAAAACACGGGATTATTCAGGGCATTTTCCCAGCATGTGCTACACAGACTGAACATCACACAGGAGGGACCCAAGGTAAGGAGTACCTTGTGAGTTCTGACGTGGGCCTGACTTTTCACCCGAAATAAAAATCAATGCCACCTTTGCAGAAAAAGAATCAGAAGACAGTGTTGTCTCAGTTCACAGTTTCTCACCTGAAGTGATCCAAAATCAGATGTCACCAACCTGTGACAGATAAGCTAAGGGACAGTGGAAGTACGGGCTTTTTTTTCCTTTTCCTTTTCCCTGTCTTTCCCCACGTCACCTGGTTCTCCCCCCAAATCCTCACCTAACCCACAAACCCCTGCCAAAAATTCCATGCAGCTAACCAAACAGAGGTGTAATAAACAGGTTTTGTCTTCTGTGGCTAAAGTGGATGCATTTTTGTTTCCTGCAAGAACTCTGAAGGAATCAGACTAAAATCATAATCATCCCCTAAATGTATCCTGATTGAGTTTCATCTCTTTGTGAAAATCACATTTTAGGTTCTAGCATGCACTCACATGTGCAGGCATATACAGCATGATTTTGCCTTTTCCTTTTGACTGCAGGACGGAAAAATCCGAGTCACCATCCTTGCGCGGAGTACAGAGTACCGGAAAATACTAAACCAAAATGAGGTTAGTGTTTGGTAGGCATTTTTAATATCATCGTATTGAATTTAAACCTTCTGTGACAGATGTGCTTAATTTTTTTCACATTGCATTAAATGCTTTGATTTGAAATTATTAGCTTTTAGAAGAGTTTGATGGCTATGCCTGGTTCATTTATTGGACTTCTCGTGGGAGTCAGCAAACCACCCATTGCCCAAACTAGCTTTGCCTCATGGGAAACGTGCATCTGCCCCAACTCAGAGGGGAAACAGGCAGAAATTCTGATTCCTGCCTTTACTGCCATAGATTGCCAAACATTCTGCCTCTGGACAAACGAGCAGCAGAAATGCAAGAGTATCTCTTGAGAGGTGGTTGATGGAGCATGGTGATACGGTGGCATCCACCATCTAAGTTGGAAGAGTCTCCGTTCTTTCCATGACTGTGTGTCTTAGAAACTATTCACCTCTTAGGTTCCCTAATTCATTTCGATAGCATCAACTCGTACATTGTACTTAAATAAGATCACCCTATAAGGCACCTGCCTACAATAGCATGGCTGGAAGATGTTCTCACAATAGTATGATTGATTGCACAGAAATAGGTTGGGCACCTGCTATGTCCTGGGCCATATTCTAGGCCCTGGAGCTACAGTAGAGGACAAGACAGGTAAGGTCCCTGTCCTCATGGAGCTTATGCTCTCAAGGTGGGACAGACAAGAAATAAGTAAACAAGTCCCTAAGTAAGGTGATTTCAGGTAGTGGGCAGTACTACAAAGGAAGTAAAACAAGGTGATGTGTTGGGGCAGGAGATGCAGGAGGAAGGGGGAAGCAGTCAGGTGAGGTGTTTAAAGAGGTGCTGTTGGCAGAGACCTTATCAGTAAGAAACCAGCCAGGGAGAGAGCCTCCCAGGCAGAAGCAAATGGCCTGTGGTGTTCAGAGCTTTAGGTGCTCCAGGAATGGAGGGTCACCAGCGTAACTGGCACAGTGGAAGAGGTGAGGATGACCCCACAAGAGGTCAGAGAAGTCAGGCAGGGTGTGAGGAGGTCCCCTATCTTATCAGCCTCATGGGCCTGGGTGAGGAGATGGGCAGGTTTTATTCCGGTGGGAGGGAAGCCTCTGTGAGGTTTGCAGCAGGGTGTGGTAGGCAGAATCATGGGCCACCACCAAAAGATGTCCACATCCTAATCCCTGGAACCCATGACTAGGTTAGGTTACGTGCAAAGGGATGCTAAGCTTGCAGGTGAAATTAAGGTTGCTCATCAGCTGGCCTGAAAATGGAGAGATCAACCTGGATGATCCAGGAGGGCCTATGGAATCACCAAAGGGCCTTAAGCTGTCTCCACCAGAGAGCTTTTGCCTCTGCCTGGAAAGCTCTTTGCTTAGCTGGATTCTTCTCGCCGACCGGATTTCTGTTGAGCACCTCCTGGAAAGTGGAAGAGGAAGACAGAATCCAGGAAGGAGACATGAGGATAGAAGCAGGGCCAGAGAGATGCCACGTTCCTGGCTTTGAAGATGGGGGAAGGGCCCCGAGCCAAGGATTGCGATGGCTTCTAGAAGCTGGGCATGGATTCTCCCCTCGAGCCCCCAGAAGGAGCACAGCCCTGTGGACAGCTGTCTGTCTCACTGTTGGACTACTGTCCTGCAGAACAGTGGGAGGGTCAGTTGTGTTCTTGTGAGCTGTGGACTCTGTGGTAATTGGTCGTAGCAGCTTGTCGAAAACGAATACACAGGCAGAGACATGAACTGGCTTATTTATTTATTTGTAAACCACTCTGGCTGCAAGAGTAGGAGCAGAGGGATTCATGCAGAGCCGTCACTGTGGCCCCAGTAAAAGTTTAGATGAAGGTGATGACGGCAGAGATGATAAAGGAAATGGATTCAAGATCGGTCTCGGAGAGCGAGTCTAGGAGACTTCCTGTCGGTATATGCAGGTACACATGAGGTCAGCCCAGGAAAGGCACTGAGAATCAGAGGTGAACTCCCAGGCTTTTAGCTTGAGCAGGCCAGTGGAATTGAGATGGGAGAAGCTCAGTAGGAGGGGACTGGAGGCAGGTTTGGATGGGTAAAATGTTTTACACAGATTAATTTGGATGCCTAATGGGCAGATCAAAATTATGTAATTAGTGTCTTGAGATCCATATGGATTATGGAGGACATGAACATATGGTGTAATGAGACACTTTGGAAGCCGTGGGTGGAAGAAATGAGCAGTGTGTGTGTGTGTTACAGACCTGTAAATAAAAATGTATCAAGTGATGCAGGGCTGGGGTAGATGGATGGGAAGCCTCACAAGAACACAGAGGCTTAGAGGTTACAAAACATGCTTAAGGTCACCCAGCCAGGGAGCAGAATAATGGGGGGTGAGCCGTGGTCGTCAGGGTCTGAGCCTGCTTCTTAACCAGAGAACTCTGCTGCTCCAACACAAATAAATGTGAGGATGCTGACCCACTTTGGCCCCCAGTCTGCCGGGAAGGCTGGCCAAGGAGCAGCCTCAAACCTGGCAAGCGGTCCAGCGCAAAGGGGTAGCACCAGTGGGTGCCGCAGTATCGCCAGCAATGTGTTCACATCTGGTCCCACGGATCGTTCAAACGATGTTGCCCACGGGTGAGATTTGGCAGTTCGGATCTGAACTCTAAGCCAAAGAGCACCCACCGGCTGCTTTTCTCCCAGTGATCGGCATCACTTGAAAAGGCAGCTACCAAGCAGAGAAGAAAGCACCTTTGACTCTACCTTGATTCATGAATAGATAGATAGATAGATAGATAGATAGATAGATAGATAGATAGATAGATGTTAGATAGATGCCTGTTTTTGTTTTTACTGGAGGCTCAGGTGGCACTTGACAGTTCATAAAATGACTTCAGAGTTAGGGGCTAGAGGAGAGACAAAAAATAAACTGGGGTGGGAAAGAAAAACAACCAGGAGGAGTTAAGAGCTGGCTGGTTCCTTCTCAGCCTGATGCAGGGGAAGGAGGTGGTGCCTCTGAACAATAGAATGGATTCCTTCCTTCAGTCCTTGGTAGGGGACAGAGAAAAAGCAAACGACTGTTGCTTTGGCCCTCTGGAGTCTCAAGGAAAAGGGCTGCCTGTGTGGCTCAGTTGGTTAAGTGGCTGCTTCCGGCTCAGGTCCTGATCTCAGGGTCCTGGGATCGAGTCCCGCATGGGGCTTGCTCAGCGGGGAGTCTGCTTCTCCCTCTCCGTCTGCCCCTGCCCCTGCCTGTGTGCTCTCTGTCTCTCATATGAATAAATAAAATTTTTAATGAAAAAAAACCCCAGATGCTCTCATTAAATGACAGTTCCTGCAATCCTTCCCAACCTCAGGATTGGATAATCATGTCAGAGGGCTGTGGCCACCTCCGCAGTGTGACTAGAAATTGTAAAAAAAAAAAAAAAAAAAAAAAAAAAGCCTGTTTGCTCGAGGACCCTCTGAAACGAGATTCTTTTTATGTGGGCCCATCTCATTACAAGACCAGGGCTCATGGGGATTAATTCGCTCCTGGAAAACGGAATTCTAACCTATCCTCACTTCTTCAACTCCCTGACATTAGTAGTATATTCAGGGGAGTTCAGGGGCTGTCTAGAGAAAGAAACTTCCATTCTATAACTGTGTATGTGTGTAACAGGGGAGGGAAGTGGATGTAAGTCCTTGCCTGTTGCTTTTACCAGGGCACTGCCTAAAAACACAGATTCTGGGGTCAGAGGACCTAGATTTAATTTTGGCTCTGCCCTTTGCTAGCTGCAAGATCCTGGGAAAGTTTCTTAACATCTCTAAGCCTCCATTGTATCATTTTAAAATAGGCATATGGGGTTGCGGGGGAGGCGCCTGGGTGATTTCAGTCAGTTCAGTGACTCTTAGTTTTAGCTCAGGTCATGATCTTAGGGTCATGAGATCAAGCCCTGAGTAGGGCTCCCCGCTCTCAGCTCAGAGTCCGCTTGAGATTCTCTCCCCCTCCCTCCCCCCTCTACCCCTCCGTTCGCTCACACGTGTGGCTTTCTCCCTCTCTCAAATAAATAAATAGATAAACTGTTAAAAAAAAAAAGGCATATGGGGGTGCCTGAGGCTGGCTCAGTCAGAGGAGCATGTTACTCTTGATCTTGGGGTTGTGGGTTCAAGCCCCATATTGGGTGTAGAGATTACTTAAAATCTTTAAAAAAATAGGCGTAATAATAATATTTACTTGGTATGAGACTTGTATGAGGATTAAGTGATGACCTAAAGCACTGAGCATTGCCAGCACAATTGAAGTGATACATTTGTTACCATTTTTGTTGTATAGTGCACACCACAGGCCACAGGATACAAGAGCAAAAATTTCTGAATAGCAGTGACCCACAGTGTTGGGTTAAGACGGCTAATTGTGAGGGACACAGAGAACCATGGCTGTATTTCTGATACTAGGTTAATTGTGCTTTGTTACTTTCTCTTTGCTAGAAGAATAATTGTTTTTCTGTGTAGAAATATTGAGAAAAATTTTTTTGGCCAAAATTTAATGTTTTCAGAGGATAAGGCCAAAAGCACAAGTAGTTTGTCTGAAATGAGATAAGGGATAGGGAGAAAACTCTTAACATAAAGACTGGAACAAGGTAGGTGCCCAGCAAACCTATGTTGAAAAATTGAGGGAATAACTAGCAAGTAGTAATAATAGCAGTTAATAGGTAGTGAGCTCTGTGCCGAACACTTCACTCCCATGAATTTGCTGCTTTCAGCCTTTATGACAGCCCATTGTGGTGGGATTTTAGGGAGGTAATGTGACCGAGGGGTGGAATCTGCATTTGAACTCAGTTAAAGGTTAAGACAGTAGATCTGAATGATAGGTAATACCTGAAAAATATTATGTATGAAAATAAGAAATTTTAGGACTCAAAGGAAAATAAAACAGAAGAGAAGGAAGGAAAAGACATTCTAAATGTTTTTTTTTTTTTCCCTCCTAGCTGGTAAACGCACTGAAAACGGTATCTACACTTGAGGTTCAGATTGTCGATTACAAATATAAGTAAGTAATATCCCGCTCTTGGACAGACGCTGTCATCTTTTGCTTGGATGAGTTAATGGAAAATCAAAAGGGTTTTCAAATGGTAGCCGTTGACACTGATAGACCGGGAAGGGACAGGCAGACACTTCTGTGAGTGAAGTGAGCAGGTGAGGACCCGGGGCAGATAGGGGCAGTTGCTCGTCGGCCTCACATCAGGCTCTGCACTCTGCACAGAGTCTGCTTGGGATTCTCTTTCCTCCCTCTTTCTCTGTCCCTCCCCCACACTCACGCTGTCTCTCTCTCAAAAATAAATAAATCTTAAAAAAAGTTGGCAACTAATTCTGAATTAAAAAAAAAAAATGTTAAAATGTTCCTGGCCTAATTTGTCCTGTTAGCTGCTGGGTCTTAACTCCTGGCCTAAAATTAGTTCTATGGGAATAATTTGAAGGTCATAGAGTAATACGAGGTTTCTAAAAATATTACAAAGTATTTGCATTTCTTATAAAACTCCAGCACAAGTAAAAGGCTTAGAAAGACAGAATATACCTAACATTTACTGTCTAGGTAAACCCTGTGGATGTAAAAACAACAGTGCCTGTTCCTGGTTGAAAAAACCAAGCAGTGTAGAAAAAAGCTCAGAAGGAAAGGTGAAGACTTTTCTGTCCTCCCTTGCCCACCAACAGTCATTGTCTTGTTTTCCAAATTTAACCCTATGAACAGTTTCTACATTAAAAAAAGAAAAAGTATCCATATTCAAGCATATGGGTCTCTGTTATTGATAGGTTGGAACTTAACAGTAAGAAGGGCATCTGGCTGGCTCAGTCCGCAGACCACATGACTCCAGATCCCAGGGCTGTGCATTTGAGCCCCACACTGGGTGTGGAGCCTGCTTAAAAAACAAACAAACAAACAACAACAACTTAATGGTAAACAGGGGAGTTCCACACCTTATTCTTCATACATCCATTCATTTATACAATCGATCTTTATCGTGTACCTGCCAGCCGGTCACAGGCTTTGAAGTAGGAGTCCAGTTACGGAGGATGGCATGGCTTTGGTCTTGAGGACCACAGACCTGGAATACAAATAAATAGCAGTCGTAAGAACAGCCACCATTTATTGCGACTTACTCTTATGCTTTACGTCATCTCACTCTCCCTACAGTCTTAGGAGGTTGGCAGAACTACTCCTGTCTTACAGATTACACTGTGCAATGGTGCCTACCATTATCACCACAGGAAGACACGGAGGAAGAAGAGGGCCCGAGGTCAGGCTGACAGAACTGGGGAGGGCACCTCGGACGCTCAGGCATTGACTGGCTTTTAGGATACGTAGGTTTTTTCGGATGAAGGAAGAGTAACCATAAATTCAGACCTTGCCAGTCTGAGGGAAGCATTACAATACAGTAGATGGAGCTTTGCCTCCTTATCCTCAGACTTCAGGGTTCTGTCCATCTGGGCACATCCTCATGCTTCCCCCGGCATCAGCTGGCCTTCCTGGAGAAACCAAGGCAGGTGCACCTCTTGTGAGACACACACAGGATGCCCCCCGTCTTCCTTTCCCTGTGTGGCATGTGGGGTTTCTGTTGTACTTCAAGAGGAAGCTCTTTAAAGAGGAGGAGCTGGGGGGCACCTGGGTGGCTCAGTTGGTTAGGGGTTCAACTCCTGATTTCAGCTCAGGTCATGATCTCAGGGTGGTGAGATCGAGGCCCACGTCGGGCTTTGTGCTCAGCATGGAGTCTGCTTGTCCCTCTTCCTCTGCACCCCCCCCCCACTGCTCACTCATTTTCTCTCTCTCAAATAAATAAATGGAATCTTAAAAAAAAAAAAATAAAGAGGAGAAGCTGGGAATTCTTATGCTCTTAAATTCCAAATAATCTTGGTCATTTTTTTTTTCCTTTGGGTAAGCAGGACTGGGAGATCTAATTCCATTACGTGTATTCAGAGTATTATACTTAGTCCAGCGTTTCTTGCCAGCCTCATTTCAGTGGACATTTTTGGCGTTGACTTTGTATTCAGAGTTTGCATGTTTTTTGGGGTCTTGAATTCGGAGCACACTTTTATGATCTTAATGTGCATAAAATTGTGGATTAGTTTGTTGCAAAGTCAGGACAATGCCTTGGTGGTATCTGAACTAATTTTAGGTATACCCAGATGGCATTGAATAAACTCCAATCACACAAGGAGTATTTATTTTATAAAAAAAATTATTATCTTAAGGAAGTAGGTTTCGGTTTGATGCTAGTATATCACAACAGCTCTTTAGTAGCCTGCTGATTTCCCTGTTTCATAAAGAAAGAGCAGGCCTCGGGCTCAGAGCTTTGCCTTGCTATGGGATCTACCTAGATTTGAATCTTTTTCCTTTGATTGTATCTGTTTTTACAGTTTTGTTTGACCCGTGTTACTGGTTTTTCATTTAAGACAGCGCTAAAAGTTTCCTTCTAAAATAAATGCATTTAGGGGCACCTGGCTGGGTAGAGCTTGCAACTGTTGATCTCGGGGTCATGAGTTCGAGCCCCACATTGTGTAGAGATTGAAAATGAAATCTTAAAAAAAATGAAATCTTAAAAAAATGCACTTATTTGCAAATATTTGCACTTTTTAAAAAAAGTGAGCTTACTTAGAAAACAATGTTAAATTATTAAATTATTAAGTTATTAATTCCTGGAGTAGGCTTGAAATTGACAAAAAGCCATAGTGGAATGTGATTTAAATTGGGAAAGACACTTGTATAAATATTGTTACCGAGTCCTGAGCTAAGTCATCTTAACAGTTTCTGTCTTCTCGCCATCTGTCTTTTGTTGTTCTATATGCTCACAGAGAACTTGGGTTTTTGGATCAGCTGAGGATCACTCATAACACGGACATATTTATTGGAATGCATGGAGCTGGTCTTACCCATTTACTTTTCCTTCCAGACTGGGCTGCTGTATTTGAACTGTAAGTGCTTTGAGACAGCTTTACATTGAGGCCATGAATAATGCTTTTTTATGCATGCCGAGACTGTCATTCAGAGCTTCAAAAGGCCTAATATTTACTCCTTACAGGAAAGTCACATCATATAGGCTTCTAGAAAGAAAACAGACCTCAAATTAAAAATGTGAAGTCTGCAGCCACCGTTCACTTAGCAAGCAAATTCCGCTTTCTCCCTCCATCTCATGATGATATGGGAGATGTGCGTCTGTGACTTCTGTCCTCGAGGCTCGTTCCTATGTGCCTCTCAGGCTGTGATCATCTCTCTGCCCTCTGTGTCATTGTGGTAAAAGGCAACCTGTATGTTGCATACCTGTGTTCACGGCAGCACTGTTCCCTATAGCCAATGTGGAAGCCATCCAAATGTCCATCAGCGGATGAACGGATAAACAGAATGTGAAATGTGGGTCTATCTGCATACCTCTGCATTAGTCAGCCTTAAAAAAGAAGGGGATCCTGTCACAGGCTACAACATGGATGAACCCTGAGGACATTATGTTAGGTAGAATAAGCTACTCACGCAAGGACATACACTGTGTGATTTCACTTATGTGAGGTATGCAGAGTAATCCGGTTCACAGAGATGGAGCATAGAATGGGGGTTGCCAGGGGTCCGTGGGGGGTGGGGGGGAATGAAGAGTTCTTGTTGCATGGAACAGAGTTTCAGTTTTGCAAGATGGGGACTTTCTGGAGATTGGTTGCACAACGTGAACACTCTTAACACTACTGAACTGTACACTTAAAAGTGGACAAGATGGGGGCGCCTGGGTGGCTCAGTTGGTTAAGCGACTGCCTTCGGCTCAGGTCATGATCCTGGAGTCCCGGGATCGAGTTCATCGGGCTCCCTGCTCAGCGGGAAGTCTGCTTCTCCCTCTGACCCTCTTCCCTCTCGTGCTCTCTGTCTCTCACTCTCTCTCTCTCAAATGAAAATAAATAAAATCTTTAAAAAAAAAAAAAGTGGACAAGATGGTAAATTTTGTGTTTTCTACCACAATTAAAACAAGAGAGTTCAAGAACCTATATGTCTCATGAAGAGCACGGCTCCAAAACACAGGCCAGCCACTCTGCCTTGTGCTCACTGATTCCATCCACAGGGAAACTGAGGCTTCAAGGTGAAAATGATCTTTCCGGGGCGCTCCTCTCACCGGGGTGGGTGGTTATGGAGACATGGCCCTCTCCCCCTTGGTAATTCTGCCCTGGACACCATGCCTCATCTTTCATTCTGGACACGCCAACAGTGGTTACTGTTACCTCATTTCTCTCTTTGTGTCTAAGCACCTAGATTTCACTCAGTATTTAAATGGGAGACTATTTAGAAAAAAAGTTGTGAACTTCTCACATTCTGCAAAAATATTTGAAATGCATATACGTTAGAGAAATAGCCAGATAATTAGGGATTCTATCTCAGTGCTTCATTTCCTCCAGAGGGAGGGAGGTAAAGAAGGAAGGAAGGAAGGGGGGGAGGGAGGGAAGAACGGAGGAAGGAAAGAGGTGTAATTGATAACCCTTAGGCCTTGGAGCTCAGCAGACTGGGCTCAGTTTTTGCTTCCCTAGCTATGTGCCCTTGGATGTGGTACCTCCCCTAAGTCTGCTTGCCTGTGTGTAGACTGGGTATTAGGAGATAATATCAAGTTCACAGGCAGTTGGCCCTATTGATAAACTTCAGTTCCTTCCAAACCTTGATCCTGTTTGGTTTTTTTTAAAGTTGAGGTAGCTTAGTTATGAGGATATTTAAAAAATAATCTCCATCAATCTTGTATACGAGTTATACAACCTTTTGCAGGAATATATTTGGGAGGTGCGTTATTTCCCAGAGAAATGTTGATTGGCAAAACGCCGGGACACAGGTCTCATGTGTGGGTGCCCTTGCATCCTTAGGTACAACTGTGAAGATGAGCGCTGTTACTTAGACCTGGCCAGGCTGAGAGGTGTCCACTACGTCACTTGGCGAAGGCAGAACAAAGTCTTTCCTCAGGATAAGGTAAAGTTCAGTGATGAAACTCACCTTGTTTTGTGTTTTTTTTTCTTTTCACCTCATTTTGCTTTTTCATTGGTTTACAGTATCTAATTAATATGAAAAACTATCAAACTTCAAAGATAAACTGTTCTTCTTTGGAACATTGAGTTGTATTTTATATTTGCAAGTTGGGGGAAAAGGGAAATAAATCACTCCATATCTGTATGTTGAGAAGACAACTTTGGGAACTTTGGGCCTAGGAAGATGTATTAAATTATATATAGGAGGGATCAGCAAACTATAGATCAGTAGGCCAAATCTGGCCCCCCACTGTTTTTATAAGTGAAGTTTTATTGGGACAGTTGCCTTGGCCAAAGTAAAATGAATTTATTCCTGTTCAGAAAACCATATCCTCAGTGACTTACAGATTTATGTTTTGGTTTGGTTTTGTAGGGCCACCACCCAACTCTGGGGGAACATCCGAAATTTACCAACTATTCTTTCGATGTAGAAGAATTCATGTACCTTGTCCTTCAGGCTGCAGACCACGTATTACAACACCCAAAGTGGCCATTTAAGAAAAAACATGATGAGCTATAAATGTGCTGAATCTGTTTGCAAAATCTGTTTGTTTAAACATTCTACCACCCAGACTCACAGTTAAGTCAGTAAAACACCTTGTTATTTCCTAGCCCCAAATTACCTTTTCTATACCAAAACATGCCTTCAGGATAGTACTTAAGTGTTTTAGAGGCTTTAGCTATTTCCAGGGATTTTTGTGTCATAGCTATTTATCAAGAGACTGTTTTTGCACTGAAAACTTTACTCTTTATAGTTCAAAAATAAGGCTGTACTAGGCTCACTAGTACATTTGAGCTTCTTAGGTCTACCAAAGTTTTCACCTTTCTTGGCTTTAGAATTTGTAAATGTTTTTGTAGACTAACATGGGATTATAATTCTAGAGGCTTCTAACTTGTTTGTGTTATATTTGAGTAAATTCACAGAAGCTTTTTTATTTGCCAAAATCTGTTCATAACACTGTTTGTGATAGGAAAGGAAAACATACAACACACACACACACACACACTGGTTTGATTCACACACACACACACACACACTGGTTTGATTCACACACACACACACACACACACACACACACACTGGTTTGATTCTCAGTACCAAGCTATAGGTAGCCTACTCCATGTTAGAGATCAAACAGTGTTTATAAACAGGTCTGTTTTACCCTCTCAGAGTCCAGACAAACTTCCACAGAATTCTCTGCTGTATCTGCTAAGTGAACTCCAGGTTATATGCACCAGTAATTTGTATAAACCATGCTGCTACATTAATTTATATTAATGGATTGCATATGCAAATCATGTTTTTCCCAAAACGTAACAACTACATATGATTAGAACATCCCTTAGGACGTCTTTGGATACCTTCTAGCTGGTTTCCACTAATTTCTTCTTAGCCCTGGAGAGCGTTTATGTTGAATTTATGTATCAAAGGGTCGTTTCCAGTGTGCATGGACCTGTGACGGCATACCCCGTGTGTGTGCATCTACCTCTTTTAGCATGGATGTATTCCCCTTTGAGTTTGCAGGCTTCACAGTAGCTACATGAAGAACATTTTTCCCTATCAAAAATGAAGACCAAAAAAAAAAGTAAAGACACATGCGAATTATCCATTTCAAAATGAAAAAGAAAGCCATGAGAAAGTACCATTGATTATAGAGAATATCTGAAATGCAGACCCACTCTTCAGGATTCATTTCTCACTGTTGATGAACTTTCAGTTCAGGGGTCAGAAACCATGGATTTCATTTCCTGCAAAATGTGAAGTTTACATTTTATTAACACTTGAGAAATCTAATTTAGAGATGAATGACTTCTATTTTTTCAAGTAGAGGATTAGCAGAGCTGAGAATTTTTTTAAAAAACATTTTAGCATTGTAAAAAAAAAGAGAGAGAGAGAGTATGTAACAGAGAAGTAACCTGAGAAACCCAAAATATTTGTTTTTTGGACCTTTACAGAACAAGTTGGCTGAGCCCTGCTTTCAAGGATTATGAACAGTCTTCTAGAGTTTAGGGATATTTATTAAAATCTCTGTAAAGAAAGTAGTGCATCATAGCTTTGATTCGGCTGTTAAATTGCATAAAAAGAATTAGAACCTATGAATTTTGCAATGAGTGGTGTGGCTGCTCTTTGTGCAGAATAGTGAGTTACCACGGGGAAAAGATTTCACTTGAAAAGCAATGTAAAGGCAGCATTGCACTTTCCATCAGAGAGGTATAAACATCCGAAAAAAGTGTCAGTGTCCATAGTCTTATAAGCAGTATGTAGAAATGCGATTCTATAGCCTAGCAAGAATTCCAGAAACTGAGGACAGTTGCATAATACAACTATTGTATTTGAATATATTGCATTTATAGAAAGAGTGCTTTTTATATAAATGAGTACATTTGACACTTTATGGAATTAACTTTTATCAGACTTTTTATATGGGGGCAAAAGATCTTTAAATGGTTATAAAATTTAAATGTAAAGAGGGCTTTTTTTTTTATTAAGTCTTGAAAAGAGATGCATTTCATTGTTTGTACATTTTGGGTATGACTTTGGAATAAATCTTTTTATATTTTATTTAAATACCAGAACAATTTTCAAGGTTTTCTGTGTCTTACGGTTATACACTTACTCTTTGGCAGTCTAGTAGCTTTAGATTAGAAAAATTAAGTAGCTCACTGATGAAGAATTCATTTTCCGGAAAAATTATGCATTATGTTTATTTAGCAGTTTATTATATGACGCTTTCACACATGGTATAGTGTGTAACTTTTACAAAAAATGACGGAAGTATTGTTCTCATTTTTCACATGAAAAAATAATCAGATGCTGTTTAAGGGACTTCCCTAAAGATCACAGTTCTTCTAGTTCCATATCCATAGTCTTCCATTGTGTTACTCGCTTGCTCGTTCAATAAATATTGAGTAACTGCTGTGTACCAGCTATTTTACTCAATAAATATTGAGTAACTACTGTGTACCAGCTATTTTAGGTTCTGGGAATACAGCTGTAAAAAGAACAGAAAAACATCCTTGCCCTCATGGAGCTTGGGTGCTGGTGGAGGAGACAGACGCGAAACAATATAAATAAGGAAAATACACTGTGTGCCAGATGCTGATACATGCTAGAGAGAAAGCTAAAGCAGGAGGAAGGGATGCGGGTGGATTCCTGGGGTGAGGTGGAGTCGGGGACACCTAAGCAGAGGTTGAGGGAAGTTTTCAATGAGGTAACATTTGAGTCAAGATTTGGAGTAGGTGACCCAGGAAGCAGTGGCAGGTAACTGGGCAAAGAGCATTCCAAGAAGACAAAAACAGTACATACAAAGGCCCTGAGGCAGGAGCATGCCTGGAACATTTGAGGAAAAGCAAGGAAGCCAGTGCAGCTGGAACGATCGAGGGACAGAGGAGTAAGAGATGACAGGTTCTGGGACTGGGGTGCGGATGGCAAGACTCTGTCTTTTGTTTCTCATAAAATGGGAGTCGTTGAATTGTGGAAAGAAGTAATAATCTCACTTTGAACAGGATAACTCTAGCTGTTGTGTTGGGAACAGACTGCAGAGGGATCCCTTAGGTTGTGTTCTCTGGGAAGCAGACTCTGGGATGGAGATGTGTATATCGTGTACTTCCTGTTGTAGAAGGGCTCTGTGGACCCCATGGGATCTCTGCCCGTCCTGTTTGTTGGTCCCCCCTCGAGCTTTTAAAAATGTAAAAACCATTCTTTAGATGTTTAAACAGAGCGGAGAGGTTAAGCAACTTACTCAAAGCTACACAGCTAGGAAGTAACAGATAGATTGGATATAGGTCTTTCTTTGTGAAGGAATTTAAACAAGAAAGTTTAGAGGTAATATAGAGGGGGAAGGAGGGGGGAAGAAGGGAAAAAGGAAGGAAGAGAAAAATTAGTTGGGGAAATAGAGAATAGAGAAAACACGCCTGGGGTTAGGCCCTTTCTTGCGGTTACAAAATAGTTTTCTTTGAAACACTGTCAATGGAGAGAGTGAAAAATACGTGCTTTTTCAAAACTAGGCGCATTTAAAGCACATCAGCTCAGGTATGATGGCCTTAGGTTTAAAATAACCTATTCTCAACCAAGGACTATTGCCAAACACTTTAATTTCTTTCTTCTCTTTTAGCTTATTGGGGCATGTCAAAAGACGTTATAAGCTGTCTTGTCATAAAAGAAGTGGCTTAGAGCAGTGCGTAAGTTACCCGGGCCCTTGCTTTGGATGGTAATGCACACTTTGACCACGAGGTGGCAGTCAAGCCCTTCCAAATGGCCTCTGTGGCAGTCAATCCCCGTGTCTTCCATCTCTTTGTAGATTCGGGACACCTGAACTCCAGGAGTTCAGACCTTGCTTCCTGATTTGAGGGAAAGTGGGAAAATTTTCACGGACAGTTTCACATTTAAGTGTGGAATTTCTTAATTGCAGCCAATACCTGAATCCCATGTGATAACTCTTGATCCTATGCAAAAAGCATTTGGCCCCTGGAAGATGTCTAATGACAGAAGCTGCTAGCAGAATGCATTCTCAGTGATGTGCACAGGAACTTACTTGGGACTTGAGCTCTATTTTATGATCTGTAGATAGCACCTTAGCTCTTCAATCCTTTTCAGGGGCTAATTTCTTTCTTGTCTAGGCTTTATGGGTTAGCACATAAGCAATTGCAGTTATGGTTTCGTTTGAGCAGAACCAGACCGTAAGCAGAAGCGTTCCTTGAAGGCTACACATGGAAGCTAGTGGGCCATTAATTAAGCAGTGCTTTCAGCATAAACAAGAGAGTGTCGACCGTCGAGTTTTGATGTGGGTGTGATGGAACGGCGATTCTCAAACTGTTGAGTATCCTTCATTCTTCATAACTTTGAGTTGCAGAATTTAGGGGTGCTTTGCCAAGAGGGACCTTGGAGATCCTTCATGGCATTTGTTCATTCCACCATGGTCTGTTGACTGCCTGCCAGTAACAGGCACCAGTTAGCAGACCAAGAAAGGTGAGTTCCTGGAAGAGGCAAGTTGTATAGACCAAAGGACTGAGACACAGATGTCAGAAGACCCTGACTTCTCAGCCTTGCAACCCATAAGCCGCATGATCATGTTGCCTAGGCGCATGGAGCTTCAATTTTCTTATTTACAAATGGGTGGTAATACCTATTAGGCCAAGTGGATTTAAGGATGAAATTTTTAAAATGCAGGCACACTGGTTTCATCCCTGGCACCATAGGATATGTCCATTAAATGCCATTGTTATGCTATGACATTGATTATGTAGAACTCTAGTAGGGGAGCATTTGCATTCTGACCTCCAAGCCTCTCCCCAGACCTAGTAAATCAGAGTCTCGGGGGCTACAGTTGACCGACTCTATGTAGTCAAATGCCCCCAGGTGGTTCCAATGCACAGGAGTTGGGGGCCCGCCGACCGGAAGCTAGAGATGTGTCTCAATGAAGGTCCAAGCCCGCCTTTTCAATACAGGGAAGTGAGTTCTTTGCGCGAGTGAGAAGGCGCCTGACGCATCAGTGCTGCCGTGCATGGTGACCTTTTGTCAGTACTCAGCATTTTGTTGAACAGCCCCTGGCAGGTTTGCTGGGTAGATTTGGGCTACCCTAGAGGTGCAAGAGTGGACGAGCGTAGCCTAGGAGCAGAGTGAACTTGGGAATACGGATACGACCCATGCTAAGGACAATGCCTCGGTGCCTTTTATCTGGGAGCCTTCTTTTTAAAAAAAAAAAAAACAACCAAAAAAGTTTTTTATTGGAGTGTAGTTGACACACAATGTTACATTAGTTTCAGGGGTACAACAGAGTGATTCCAC